ATCTATTTGTGAAAAAGGGGCAGAAATCAAGATTCTTTCTTCTTCTGCTACCTTTCATTGCATAAATCGAGCGACGCAACAAATTGATAATGAAATTTGTTGCCAACGCTTTTAATAATCGATTTTTATCGATTCGCTGTTGCAGCCCTAGCTCAGTCCTCACACACCATCACTCCCAGCTGCAGACAGATAATTCAACCCATCCCAGTGCAATGTAGCCTGGCCCTCACCTTCCTACACAGCTCCGCTCAATTCTAGTTTCCTYCTCTGCTCCGTCTGGGACTTCTCCCATTGAGATGATTTCTCTGGCAGATTTTTAGCCAAACCAATCAGAGAACAGAACATCAATTTTCTGAGCAGTGTCTGCTTGTAGTTTATTTTACCTGGACCAATCAGAGAACAGAAGGAGGAGTTTTAAATGACGTTGATGTTCTGCTCAGTGTCTGCTAGTTAKTTTAGCATACAGCAGTGGAGGAAGTGAATGAAGCCAGTCTGTGTTGATAAGGCTTCAAATTAAAATAAATTTGTCTGACAAAGCAGCAGCTCTCATTTACAGTCGTCTCGTTCAGCTCGGTATATTTCTCCTCTCAGTAGGGTTGTTTACAGCACACGCGATTTCCGATTAGCTTCTTAGCTTAGCCTCCTTCACAGCGACAACACATACATGCTTCAGCAGAGGCCACGCCTCCTGCAAGAAACACTTCTCTATGCATCAAGTCCAGACCCTCTATGAAGCAAAGTGAAGGACAGGGTCTGGTTTGAACCAGGCTAAGTGCGATACTGCTTCTGATTGATCCATGATGGGATTTAATTGTAAAAATTTCTATGGGTAAAATAATCTCTGTAATAAAATAACTTTGTCTTTTTTTCATCACTTTTGGTGATTGCATCTATTCTGTTACATTGCCATAAAGAAGCTTCACTGATTTGAAACAAATCTGTCCATCTGTGTTTGATTACCGTATTTTTCAGACTATAAGCCTCGACTTTTTTCCTGAACTTTGAACCATGCGGCTTATAGTCCGGTGCGGCTTATACATG